ATACAATCTGTGTCCTCATTTGATCTAATAGTGGAAGAGACAGACACTAATTGAGAAATTTTCTAATTACAGTTGTGGAGTGTCTAAAGAGCAGCAAATGAAACATGGGGTTACAGAGCTGTGAGCATCTCTCTGAAAGGGCCAAAGGGAGTGAGAATAACACATCTATCCATCCCAGGATAGAAAGCAGATAAAGAGCCAGTAGCCCTGCCTCATAATGCCTCTAGAGGCACACCGACAGTAAGAGGTTCATTTATATGTTATTGACTCACAGACTCACAGTTTTGTTACTGAAAATGGAGTTTATTAGGGAAGTAAATTTGAGAGTGGGGAAGGCAAACTAGCACCCAATAAATGTCCAAGTTTTAGCCCAAGTTCCAAGGTATAGTTTCTCAATTAGTCCAGGCTCTGGTTTCAGTTCAGTGGTCAAATCCAAATCTTCCAGTAAGATTTGCCTCAGTGAAGTTAAAAGTCAGCTTCTCCTAAGAGAGCTCTGATAGCCTAGTGGCAAGAAGCTGTACTGTAATCCCAGAGGTATGCAGTTCAAATCCACCAGATGCTCTGCTGGAGAAGGAGAGGAAATCCCTTCCTGAACCAATCAGATCTGATTTGATGGCACACACACACAAAATAATAAAATAAAGCAAAATTTTTTTTTTAAAAAAAGCTTCTTCAAACATCTGGCAAGAAAAGCAAAAACCTTTAACTGTGAACTTTATATCAGGGCTCCTCTCCTTACACCTTGCCACAGTTGCTCTGCAGCATTTGCCACAGTCGCTCCACCACCATCACCAAGGTCTCACCACTAGGGTCTCACTCTCAACAGTCTTGCTCTCCTTTTCCTCGAGTTTTGCTTGCCTCAAGTCTTGCTGCTTGCTCCATGTGGGAAGTACTCTTTCACTTATCCTAGTCCCACAGCTGTTGATGATTTGCAAGACCATCTATCTTCAGTTAAGGAAGCTGGAGACCAGATGGCTGGAAAAAAGCCAACTTTTCAGTTAACACCACACACAAAAATTACTTAGTACAAGGGACTGACCTAGGCACTGGGGATTTAAAGACAATCTTTGTCCTCATGTGATTAAATAGTGAACGAGACAGATACTAATTGGGAAACAGTTCTGGGGATTTCTCTGAAATCAGCAGAACTTGCCCCAGTTTAGAAAATTTGCCCCAAAACAACTATGAGATATCATCTCACCCCGGTCAGAATAGCAAAATTTAACAAAAGAGCAAGCAACAATGCTGGTGAGGTTGTGGAGAAACTGGAATCCTTATTCACTGTTGGTGGTAGTGTAAAATGGTGCAACCCCTGTGGAAAGCGGTATGGTGCTTTCTCAAAAAGTTGCAAATAGAGATACCATTTGACCCAACAGTTCCACTACTGGGAATATACCCCAAAGAGACCATAACTGACATCCAAGCAGATATATGCACACCCATGTTTATTGTAGCTTTGTTCACAATGGCAAGGAGTTGGAAACAACCTATGTGCCCATCAGCAAACGAATGGATAGAGAAGCGGTATATTCACACAATGGAATACTATGCTGCATTGAAAAACAAGGCACTCATGCAGTATTATTCAAAATGGGTGACCCTGGAGGACATTATACTGAGTGAAGTATCTCAGTCACAAAGGGACAAATACTGCATGGTGCCACTCTTGTAAAACAGGACTGATCTTGGGGTTGGGAGGAGACTGAGAAAGATGGGTTCAATAATGTATACTGCATTGAAACAGATGAGAGAGAAAACTGTATAGAAGGGATATATGATGAGGTATTTTTTTCATGACGGGAGTCCAGAGCGAAGGCTGCATAGTGGAGTAGACCTGGGGGAGGATTTGTAAAACAATGAAAGAATTTTTCTTTTACTTTTCCAAGAGGGTAGTGTACTAGGGGGGAGGATTGGGAGAGGAGAAAAGTGCAACAATGAATGAATCGAAACCCAAAGTCTCTGTAAATTTTCATTGAAATTAATAATAAATTAAAAAAAAAGAAAGTTTGCCCCAAAAAGTGATGGTTTAAGCTGATCTGTAAGGAGGAGTTAATGAGGCAGTTGGGAATGAGAGGTGGGGAATGCATTCCGGGTGGAAGAGAGAAACTTTGTACGACCTACCAGAAGGACAGTGCCTTGTGATTCTCATGAAAGAAAAGTTTTGGTGTGACTGGAGTTCAGTGAGAGAGGGACTGAAAACAGTGCCCGGTGAGGTTGGCAGTGAGAGGCGGGAACTACATTATGCAATGCCTTTTCCTGCTTCCTCTTAGGAGAATGAAACACAATATGAATGAAGAACTTTTTTTTTTTTTAAAAAAAAAGGTTTTAATGAAGCAGAGGAATGATATTAAGAGAGATCTGAGCTTAGAAATACTAATTTGAAAGTAATAGCAATTGTGTAGTGACTTGAAGCCGTTGGGAATGAGTGAGATGGCCTAAAAACCATAGTGAAATAGAAAAGATCCAGGACTCACACACTGAGGCACTAATGCTGAGTGATAGAGGATGACCCAGCAAAAAAATGCAAAGAACTTTTTTTCATTCATACAAAAGTCACAGTGCATTTCCAAATCTCTCTACCTGTTAATTCTACTTACCTTCTATAGTAAGTACAAAGTGAGAGTTTTGAAGGAATTTAAATATTGATTTCACATTTTATTCTGTAACTTCCTATAGCTCTGTGTACTACAAAAGAAACTCACTTGCTGAAGTCATTGCAGTTTAGTGGCAAGTCTTGGGACTCTACATTTACTGTATACCAGGGCACCTTTCCGCAGTATTTCACATGGATGACTCAGTCCTTGAAAGTCTCTTCATTGTCTTCTGTGACTCTACTGCCATCTCTGGGTTTTTCTGTAATTTCTCTGTCAGTACTCCTGTTCAGTCTCTCCATCGGCTCAGATTTTCCCACTTAATCTTAAATAGACACAGAAAAAATTTTTGCAGTGTTTGTGTGTCCTTGACTTTCTCCTTTCCTAAGGTTCTTCAGTTTCATCCTTTCACAGGATTCCTAATTAATGGTCCCCTTATGAAGATAATTAACTCTGCTGTCCTGAACCTTAGACCTGTATGTTAGTATGTCTCATGTGTGTCTGCCTAACTGGAGAAGCCGTTCATTATGAGGCCATCTCATAATATAATTCCATGAAGACAGAGGCCAATTGACCTTTTTAGGTGTTCCCCTCATGCCTTGTACCAGTAGATAACATATATCAGTGTCTGGGACATTTATCATCTTTGCATGCCACTGGTTGTTAAATATTTTTAATGGAGTAGCAATGGAATTCCAAATGTTTCAGAAAATATTAAAAAAATCGTTTCTTAAGATCTCAAGCTTTTACCAGTTGTTAGGTTGAGTCAGTTCTCATATCTATGCTCTGTGCAGCAGAACTAAACACTGCCTGATCCTGTGTCGTCCTCACAATCACTACTGTTTTCAAGCCCACTCTGTGGCCACTGTGTCAGGTCGTCTTATTGAGGCTTTTTCTCTTTTTAGTTAACCCTTTGCTCTACCAAGCATAATATCCTTCTTCAGAGACTGCGTCCTGTGATACATCAACTGAAGTCTCACCATCTTGCTTCCAGGGAAGTTCCAATGAAAGCTTCAGTTGTTTCAAGACAGATTTGTGTGAGGTTTTTTGGGGGCACTTCATAGTATATTCAGTATTCCTTGCCAAAACCAAAATTCAAAGCCTTCTATTCTTTGGTCTTGCCTATTAGCCATTGGTTAGCTGTTGCATGAGTATGAGGCAGTTGAAAATACTATGACTTGAGTTAGGTACACCTTAGTTCTCTTTACTCTTTAACACATTAAAGAGGTCTTTTGCAGTAGATTTGTCCATTGGCGTTTCTTGTTAGGACATTAAAATTATTGGGGGGGGGAAGTATGCATTTAATATAAAAGCAAATAAACTTTTTAAAAGTGAAAATTTACTTTTTTAAAAATGGCTCTTTTCAGTTTATTGCATGAAAGTGTTACACTAGTCCAAGTTAAAAGTGGGCCCCAAATGGTTACAATTATACAAGCTGTGAAGTTTTATACTTGTGACAAGGGACAGAAGGGAAGTTTTCTCTTCATTGCAAAGAAATCCTCAAATTAGCTTCAGTGAGCCACAAGCACTTAAAACCCATGAACCTTCAGCTGAGCGTCCTCAGAGTCCAATCTCTACAAGGAACTGGTGTAAGTTCTTGCACTGGTCACCCTGGAGCTGAATTACTTCTCCGTATTCTGGATGCTCAATTACAGTACCATTGCAGGCAAACTTCTTAAACGCCATCACTAATTTCTTTTTATTGTAATCACCCGGGATTCCTTGGACAGTTGTAAGGGTCTTCCTGCCGTTTCTCTGTCTAATCCTCAGTCCCTCAGAAAGCAGGTTCTCACCCTTATTTGCATCAGCAAAAGGGTCAAAAGAGTGGAGGTTCTGGATGATTCCTTTTCCTCAGTGAAAACTGGAAACAGCCTGCGAAAGTCGGTGGCAGAAGAAGGCAGGCAGAGGGGACTCCAGAGGGAGGCGGCTGAGTCCTTGGCGGCAGTTCAGTGATTGGGCAAAAATTTACTTTTAATAAAATGTAAAAAATTCCTTAATTTTGGAGAAGCATATTGGAGGGAGCACAGAGAAAGGTGTTTTACTAACAAATCTGAGTTAAAGTTCACAGGGACATTTTAGGCATCAGGTCATCAAACCTGCTATTCAGTTAGTTTATAGATGAGGCTGAGCTGCAGAGAATTTAAGTGACTTTCCCACCACTGTATAATTGATTTTATAGTGGAAATCTTACCTTCTTTTTTCATAATGCCCTAGTGCTATTCCACAATAAGCACATTCTGTTTTTCCTTAAATCCACTCCATAGTATACTTTGAAAGGGAAATGGAAAATTTATATTTGTGCATTTGATAAACATGAAATTCGCTTCATTTTTTTCAAGTTAAAATATCTTGATGATTTATTTTCCTGTGTTCTACTGGATTTTCCCCCCCTTTACATCTTTCTGAAAGAAGTGATACTCCTGTTGAAGCACAGCGGCCTATTAGCAGTGAAATCCAGGGCCAGACATCAGTTTCAGAAAAAGAGCCGGCAAATGGATCACAGAATCCAGGACCCGCTAAGCAAGAAAAAAATGAGGTAATGTTTACTACAAATAATGTCTGATACTCTTTTTCTACCAAGTAATAGCATTTGCTTAGGTTTAGTGGTAAGAATAGTTAGAATTTCTTACTGGTTTGTTTTCCTCTTCCTTCCTAAAGAATATATGGTGTTTTAGTTGTCATTTCTCATTTTGGCATAGTTTCAACAGATGAATTTATTAACAGTCTAAAATACTACAGCTGATATTAGGCTTTTACATATTTTAGGACTCAAAGAACTCATAGTAAACTTGGGAAGCTTGCACTTTTAAAATGTATGTTCTACATATTATTAATTACATTTACTATATTAAGACATAATGAATAATACTTTTATCTAAGTTTGTTTAGAAGATTGCCCCTCCTTCTCACCACAGTGCAGCTTCTTGCCACTAGGCCACCAGAGCTCCCTTCTAGATAACTTTTATTTGGTATTTTTGGAAGAAAGGAAGTTGTAAAGGAGTATGTAAAGAGTACATAGAAGAAATGGTTTTACTAAGTTGAATAAATCTGTTTTCAACTAAATGTTATGAAAGAAGTAGAAAGGTGCTATTAAAAGTACAGAGTACTTTTAGATGAAAATTGTTGGTGAGTGCTGTCAAGTTGGAACCAACTCATAGCTGACCCTCTGGTGGGTTTTTAGAGGTGATCAATTGCACAGGAGGAGATTGCCCATCCTTCTCCCACAGAGCAGCTGGTGGATTCGAAAAGCATGCCTTCGGGATTGCAGCACAGCTTCTTGTCACTGTTGTTTTTGTGTGCTGTAGAGTTGGAGCTGACCCATAGCTGCTCTGGTGGGTTTTTAGAAGCAGTTAATTGCACGGGAGGAGATTGCCCATCCTTTTCCTGTGGATCAGCTGGTGGCCTTGAACCGCCTGGCTTTGGGATTGCAGCACAGTATCTTATTACTAGGCTACCAGAGCTCCCTTTCTTGCCACTAGGTTACCAAATAATTATATCTTCAAAGTTAATATTATTAGTTATGAAATGGAGGAAGATTGCTACTAGCACCTAGAAAGCGAGACAATTTTAGCATTGGCTAGCTCCACAAGATACTTGGTAAGCTGCTGTGAAGGTTGGTCAATTTTAGAGATGACAGATTTATTCCAATATACCCCAGTGTATGTAATTTATGCAATATAACCAGATGCCATCTTGACAGAGGCACCTTCTTCTGCCAATGATGAAATTCACAAAGTATTTTAGCTCTGAAAATCTGATTGCTATACAGTCTTTTTAGAATGATGAAGTAAGGAAGTTAAGACTTCACGCTTAATACCCATTTATTCCACTGTCTTATGATAGAATAATGAAATAAGGGGAGCTCTGGTGGCCTAGTGGCAAGAAGCTGCACTGCAATCTCAGAGACGCATGGTTCAAATCCACCAGATGCTCTGCCGGGAAAGGAGGGACAATCTCCTCCTGTACCAGTCAGATCTGATCTGACGGTACACAGACACACATACACAAAATAATTTAAAAAAAAAAGAATAATGAAATAGAAATTAAAGTATTGGTTTTGAGGGAAATTTTACACATTCCTATATTAAGCCTATTAAACAAGGATAATATTGTATTTATTTAATACATTCCTTCAACAGGTTTTTCCCCAAGTATTACGGAGAGAATAGTTTATATTTTAACTAGTCAGGAAAACAAGATAACCACTCAATTTCATTGTCTCTTGCTATGAACTAGAACAAATTATCTCATCTCTATGACTATTAACACTTATGGGGAAGCTTCTTTGCAGAAGCTGAGCTGCTGCAATCTGGAAGGCATGTGGTTCAAATCCACTAGATCTTCCGCTGGAGAAAGAGGGGCAACCTCCTCCTGTGCCAGCTGGATCTGATTTGATGGTACACAATGAGAAAAAAGAAAAACAAAACAAAACCCAACAACAGCAACAAAAGACTTACGGAAACTACGAGTAATATATTAAGTATTTTGTAATTGTTAAATATAGCTAGTTATAGATTTTATTCATCATTTATAGAAGATACTGTTGAGTGAAAAAGTATATTTAGTCATTGTCTGCTCAAATATATTATTCTGATGTTTTTAAGCTTCGAGATTCAACAGAGCAATTTCAAGAATATTATAGGCAGAGATTACGTTACCAACAGCACTTAGAACAGAAGGAGCAACAGCGACAGATATACCAACAGATGTTGCTGGAAGGAGGTGTGAATCAAGAGGACGGTCCTGATCCGCAGCAGAATCTTACCGAGCAGTTCCTCAATAGGTTGGTCTTTAGTCACTTTTATAAATGTAAAGAATGATTTCAAAGCTATAGAAAGCATGCAGTACTTTGAAATTTTAAGGCTTTTACATTTTTTTAATGTTTCAAGTAACCAGGAATTACATAATTTCTTCCAGTCCCAGCATTCTCAGCTAGGTTTGTATTCCTCGCTTTAACTGGCCCTTTTGCATTAAGCAGTCCAAGCTGATGGTGCCTGGTTCAGCTGACTGCAGGGTGGATCCAACTCTGGTTAAAGGGTAGCTGAGAGCTTTCAGGGAAGGAATGTAGCAGATTTTCTCATCTAGTTTTGTCTGCCCTGCATCATAAATGAGTTCATTTATGTAAAATACCTAGAATAGTACCTGATATATAATAATGGTAGCTGAATCAAAACTGAAACTCATAGCTATCAAGTTGGAACCAACACATAGCTAGCTACCGATTTTTCTGGATTCAATATAAGATGACACATTATAATAATTTTTGTCAAAACTGTATGAATTTATACTGTTTTTAATTATAGTAAAAATGGTTATAAGGTGATAAAATTTAAAAAGATCAATATCCGGGGTAAGTGTGTGTGTGTGTGTGTGTGTGTGTAAAAATAACTGAGTTGTTGAAAATTAAGTGACTATATGTAAACACACTTAGAGCAGTTTCTGGCACACTTTAATGTGCTGTATATATCTATTAACAGTCTGATTAGGCACCGGAAATGGTGCATGCCACTTTTCTGTTTGATTCAGTAGTTCTAGACGTACTATTGCTTCACAATCTGAGGGTTATACAAGTAAGTGAGCCCCAAATTGTTTCTGTCTTCAGATCTTCACACAAGGAATGTTTATAGTGGTGATCTGAAGAGTCTAAGACCTCTGAGTAATCCCTTTCAATTTGAGGAGTATTTCTGTCACCTCTGATCAAATCAGTAACTTGTCAGAATAATCCCAATTTGATGAATTGCCTCATATTATTTGGATGTCGTCTTCATATTAAGGAGCCCTAGTGGTACAGTGGCTAAAGTGCTCAGCTGCTACCCTGAAGGTCAGTGGTTTGAACCTACCAGCTGCTTCATGCGAGAACTATGTGGCAGTTTGCTTCCATAAAGATTTTAGCCTTGGAAACCCAATGGGCAGTTAGTTCTAACCTATCTTACAGAGTAACTTTAGTCAGAATTCATAGCAATGGTTTTGGGCCTTCATAGCCATAAAATTCATGGTTGCAACCGGACTGATCAATTGTTTAGTAAAAGCAGAATATCTAGGCATCAGCCAGGAGATGAAGTGACAAGATTTTGTGACCTCAATAGTGGAAGGGACTGTATTTTCTCAGGAAAAAGTTAAACTACTTAAGATCCTTCCTTTGCAGTTAATCAAATTGGAGTTCAAATCACTCCTTGTACATTAGGCTCACTTTGGAACATATTTATCTGTTTTCATTTTCTTTAGAGAGAAGAGTTCAAAACTATAGTGAAAGGTAAGAATGTTATGAAATTCATAAGATCACTAGGCCTATAAATAATTTTTAAAAAAGAGCCACCTAAAACACCAAACAGGTGAGCTCTGGTGGCCTAGAAGCTGCACTACAGTCCTAGAGGTGTGCAGTTCTAATCCACCAGCTGCTCTGCTGAGAAGGAGGGGCAATCTCCTCCTGTGCCATTCATATCTGATTTGACGGTACACACATAAAAAATAATAAGATAAAATAAAAAACTACCAAACAGTACTTTCAAATTAATGATTACTCATGGTGACCTGACATTGGAGTTCTGAGTCTGTATATCTTAACAGGAGCAGAATACCTTACCTCCTGCACAGTGGATGGTAGATTGGAATCGGCCTTTTGGTTAGTAGCTCAGGATACAATACACTATAGATAAAAGTAGATGCTTATACTAAGCTTGTATATCTTCTCAAACTTAAAACTCATTGCTGTTGTTTTGGAACCAATGACTCATGGCTGATCTTCCATTGATTGGGTTTCTGAGCCTGCAAATAGCATTTGAGGAGATTGCCTATCTTTCTCCCTTGGAGCTGCTGAGATTCAAACTACCAGATAAGCAGGCTTGTCACTGGAACCTCCTATAGCACACACTTCCACAGTTCCCTACAAACTCTCTTAACCTTTTCTTTATCTGTTTTTCTTTCTGACCCTTTAATAATTTTATTAGATTCTTTTTTGCTAGACTTTTAGTTTTGTATAGCTATCTGTATCAGCACTTTTAAAGTACCTACTGTTAAAAAGGACAAATTGAATAGAGAAAAAAAAATCCAAATTAAAATATACTTTTCTCCTACATGGTTTTATTCTCTTCTTCCTAGTCATTTTAGAGTAGTCAGCAGGTGATACTTTCCAAATTCATATTTGCTTTCCTTCTTCAAAGGGAAGTAAGAGTCATGTTATAGAATAGATTTTGAGGACAAGTTTTATTAACTACATACCTGTTGAATTTTTATTTTTACTAGTAATTACTGCCACTGACGTAATACTTAAAGATTTTGCAAGTATTACGTTTCATATTATATATTTTTCATATAGTAATTAGCACCACATTTAATACTTGTAGGTATTATAAGTATAAAGATACTTTGCCTCTCTTTCTATATCATCTCACTTTTAGAGTAAAAATGATATGTTAACATTCTAGAGGCTCTTTATATTTAACCGAGCATTTGCCAAACTTATTTGAACTCCCATCATTTTTAATAGGGAGTGTTCCAAGGAGCATAATTTGAAAAATGCTTCCTAATGAAACATTAAATACTTAGGTAATGTTACATGTTTAGTAATGCTGCTTATTTCTTTAAGAATATTCAATTGGAAAAAAAATTCAATTGCTCATCTAAGTGTTGCCAAAACTCTATAAGCACCACCTCTTGTAAATATTTAATATAGAAAAGTTAGAAAATTAGCAAACTATTTATGTTGTCCTTTCCCACATTGAGTCTGGGCTGGAGGAAATCTTAGAAGGCCTGTCAGTTTCTTCTTTGTGTCCTTTGGATCCTGGAGCCAAACATAAGAAATCAAGCTATTCTAAGTTTTTCTTCTTAGAGCATAGATGTGAGCCTGGCAAATTCTGTTTGAGCAAATGGAAGGGATAGATATGTGCATGAAAAATAGGATTGCCACTGCTTAACTTTTGCTTAATAGACATTAGAGGTGTACTTAATATCTGGAGCCAGTTAGCGTCCAAACTACCCAAAAGACGGGCATCATGGCCTGATTTCGTCATTTGTTTCCTAATTGGCATCACTTTCGTAAAGAAAGACGGAATGAACAAAGCTTTAATTATTTGTGTGAATTTTGGATAGAGGTAAGCTTACTCTTTTTATAAGTTGAATTTTACGTTGGAAATTAAAGTTATATTGATAAAAAAACTAGATTCTTTTCTTTCTTGTATGTGTGTGTGAGAGATGGATACAATGCACATTATACTCAGCTACTTTAAAGGGTCGAATTGTGGAAAAATTGGGCCTAGGCAAGGATTCTGGGGCTTTGTCTGACATACTTTGGACATTTTGTAAGGAGGGAGAGTTCCTTGGAGAGGGACATCATGCTTGGGAGTGTGAAGGGATGGTGCAAGAGGGGAAGACCCTCTATGAGGTGGATTGATTCAGTGACTGGGGTAATCGGGATGGGAGTGTCAGAGGCAGTGCGATTGGCACAGGATAGAGCAGAGTTTAGGGCTGTGGTACATAGGGTCGCTATGAGTTGCAAGCGACTCAACGACTCAACGGCACATAACAGCAACAGCAACAAGCTATGGATTACATATTATATGTATATACCTTCTTAAACTTCTATTTATAAATTCAGAATGTTCTTGTGTTAAACTAATTGCGTTGTTTTATTTTATAGGTCCATCCAAAAGCTTGGGGAATTGAATATTGGCATGGATAGCCTTGGTAACGAGGTGTCGACGCTCAGCCAGTCTTGCAATGGGAGTAAGGGCAATGGATCCAGTAGTTCTTCCATAACAAGTTTTGCTCCTCCGACCCAAGATTCTACTCAGAGATTAACACATGACGCTTCAAATACCCACACAAGCATTCCCCATAATGCTGGATCTACAAATCACATACCTTTTCATGAGGAATCGTCTTCATGTGGAAACCAAGTGTAAGTAGTATTTGACTTTAAATTCTGGAAATATTAACTTTGTGCTAATGAGCAGACTTATAGAAATAGGAAGAAGTTAAACTTCTCTTTAGAACAAAAAATGTTTTTGGAGTTTGCAGCCTCTTTCCCCCTCTCTAATCTACCTTTATTTATTTATTTTGTCTCCAAACAACAATTGAATGACTTACTTGCTTGCTTTATTTCTTGGCCATAGGTACCTTTCTTTTTTCTTTTTTTTTTTATTGGTACCTTTCAATATAGATCTCTAAGCTCTTCACTTTTCAGGAGGTGCTTTATAACATGCTGGAATGATAGCATTAGGACTGTGTTGGCAGCTCAGGCAGTGACAGCTGCTGAAGACTTCATACTTATTTTTTCCCACAGATAAGGCACTCTGGTTGTATAGTGCATAATGTGCATGGCTGCCGACTAAAATGTCAGTGATTCAAATCCACCAGCCAGTTCTTCGGTTGAAGATGGGCAACCCTCTTCATGTAAAGATTTATAGGCTTGTAAACCTAATGGAGACCCATTGTTAAGTGTATGCAGGGATGTCCATCACAGATTAAGAACTCCCTGCTTCTGTCACTGAGAAGTCAAGCCCCACTGCATGCTTCAGTGTCTGCAGTTACACCACTCTACCTTCCTTACATGCTGAGTTCCAGAGATCAAGCTTCCAGAACGCCGAATCAGCACTGAACAACCCGCATAAGGATCAGACTGCCCTCTGGTGGTTTTCAGGAGAAGATACAACCAAGCTTACTACCATTGGGTTGATTTTGATTGTAGTTGCCCTGAGGTAGAGTGGAGCTACACTAGGGGATTCCAGGGCTATGAGCCTTTGCAGAGGCAGCCATCTTTGTGCAGAAAGCAGCTGGTGGGACCCCTCGCTTTCTGATTGGCCAGGTGGACATTTGGCCTCCTGCCTCATCAGGTGCCTAATCAGAAAAATTTCACACAAAAACGAGAATATAGTCTTTAAAGTAAAACCAACCAACCAACCAAACAAAAATCCATGAAGATAGCAAAATGGCCCAGGTTCAACAAAAAGTAAAATACACAGACAGAATCACAAAAGAAGGACCATTCAAAAGCAAAGCTTGAAGAAAAAATGTTTTCCTGTAGAGGCCAGAACAATGCAAAGACTTTATAATCTTTAGACCAAGATACAAATATGAAATTTAAAGAAATGAAAGGGACACAGAGGGATAAAAAAAAATAGTGGAGATCAAGAAACAATTGCTGCTGTTAGGTGCCATTGAGTCAAATATGACTCATAGTGACACTATGAACAATAGATCTGAATGCTGTCCTATCCCCTGCCACCCTCCTCATCTCTGACACACTTGCACATATTGCTGCAGTTACTGTGTCAACCCATAGGGTTGAGAGTCTTCCTCTCTTTGCTAACCCCTTACTTTTCCAAGCATGATGTCTTTCCCCAAGGCTTAGCCTTTCCTGGCAATATGCCTGAGATTGTTCACAGCTTCAGTTTGCTCGGCTCCACAGTCAACACTCTTGGCACCAGCAGTCAGGAAATCAAAAAGCATATCGCGATGGGAAAGTCTGCTGTTAGGGACCTCTCTAAGGTACTCAGGAGCAACAGTGTCTCTCTGGAGACTAAGGTGCTCCTGATACAGGCCGTGGTATTTGCAATCGCTTGTTATGCATCAGAGAGTTGGACAGTGACTAGGGAGGACAGAAGGAGAGTGGATGCTTTTGAGCTGTGGTGCTGGAGAAGAGTACTGAATGTACCATGGACTGCCAGGAAAACAAACATATTCATCTTGGAGAGGATTAAACCAAGCTACTCCTTGGAGGCAAGGATTCTGGGGCTTCGTCTGACATACTTTGGACATGTTGCCAGGAGGGACGGGTCCTTGGAGAGGGACATCATGCTTGGGAGGGTTGAGGGACAGCGCAGGAGGGGAAGACCCTCTATGAGATGGATTGATTCGGTGACTGGGGTAATCGGGATGGGTGTGTCAGAGGCGGTGCGGTTGGCGCAGGATAAAGCAGGGTTTAGGGCTGTTGTGCATAGGGTCGCTATGAGTCGCAAACGACTCGACGACTCGACGGCACATAACAACAACAACAACATACTTTTTGAGAATTCTGAACTTATTAATACCACCTCATCTTCTCCCTCCTCTTTATATCAGTGTTATATTTTTAAGACAAACCTTCTGGGTTGATTCTTGAGGAATTAAGTCTTCTTTACAAAGAAGGTGTCTTTTATATTTGTAAAATAAAAAAATTCCCATTTGGGAATAGGGCGCAGGCTCTGGCTTCTTCATGCTGAACATGGGCATTGAGATGAAGGGGAAGGGAAGCCCACTTTAACACTTTACTGGTGGTCCTGAGTTGAAGAGTCATGCCTTCTTGTTAAGTTAGATGATATTGTCATGTGTTTACTGCCCTCTGGACTGCAAGATGTTTGTGAGATTGAGTCCAGTGGGAGTGGCTGGCTGAACTTTGAGGATCCTTCCACCTTAATTGGCCATCTTATCTCCGGAACAGGGCTCAGGGTTCAGGTTCAAAATGGAAACTTTTGTTCTTACTTTTGAGCAATGATCAAGTTAGTCTGAAGATTGTTGCTAAAATGTTACTGAACTCAAGGAGTTCTTTCCATAGTCAACTGCCAATGAAACACAGGGTTGCAATATCCATAAGCACTTTATTACTGATCTTGGAGGACAGCTAGATTCCCTTAAAAAACCTGCCTCCTGTACATTACTTTCATTTTCTAATTTACCACTCTTCCCAAGACCTATTTTTTGTTTGTTTTAGCCTCTCACTTTTAGCTATGAGACTTTTTTCAAGGACTTGGGAATCTCTGACTATTTGGAAAGGCGGGAGCAACCTCAGCATTGCAGTTTGCTGGGTGGAAGCAGTGAGGGGCAAGAAAAGGGGAAAGATCCAGGCGAAAAGAGAGGATAATGATGGGCAAGGTCCAATGATGATTAATTTTATAAAACGCAATGCATGCGAATGATTGTATGAAACACAGTGGAGTGAAGAATAGTGTGAAATGCAATGTATACAAACTTTGTAAGCAAACCAACTTTTTAAAAAAAGCTACTTGAAAGAAAGTTTGTATATATGGAGGGATCTGTGTTCCTGGTGGCCTTATTATTTTTTTTTTTTTAAGTCACAGGAAACTGTAGAAACTTTAACTGAGAGAACCTTAACTGTGACTGTCTGTTAGGCTTTTTCCTTTAGTCTTTTCCTATAGTTTTTCTAGAGAACAGTCTCCAGGCTTTTGTCTGGAGTAGAGTTTAAGCATTGCAGTCAGGATTCTGGAAATAAGCAGAGCAGGTAGGGTACATTATACAGTATATGGACTTTGACTTAATTTCCTTTTCAGAATGTTTTCTTACCGCCTTCTTAGGATCACTCTTCATGTCACTGAATCCAGCTTGTATAATCAACCTCTTTCGAGAGTAAACTTCAGCTCAGTGAGTTAGTGAGTTAGCTGCCAATAAATGGTTAAATGAAAAAAAATTAAATTGATAATTTCTGTCTTGATATTCAGAGTAAACCTATTTTAATTTCTATCCACACAGCTTATCAGAACATTCAGTCATTAAACCAGCTCTTGGAGATTCTTCAGGGAAACTATCCAGGTCAAGAGGGGAAGAGGTAATTAAAATTTTTTTTTTAACCAGAGTGGGAAGGTTTCATTGTTTCTCTTTTCTCTCTCTCTCTCTCTCTCACACACACACACACACACACACACACACACACACACACACACACA